GCAGATGGAACTCGGAGGAGGCCTAATCGGTGAGATCTGATAGGTCACGTGGAGGTAATCGGCAGTAGGCGGTCTCTCAAGTATTAATATGTTTCTCAGGATTGCCTTCCATTCTTTATGAATTGCTAGGGGCACACGTCAACATATTTTCAGGATCTGTATAGTTTTGTTTTTCTTCCAAGTAGAATAAAATTTGCTGGTTTTGTTTTTAAAAAGACCTGACAAGTTTGGCTGTTACTACTGTATTTTTCCCCCACAGTATTTCTTGATCAACTATAAATATTCTTCCCATTAATATCTTTCATATGTCATATTTAAAGCAGATGGCGTAGAAGGAGTTCCTTCAACAGCTCCCTAGTTATAGGGTAGACAGTTCAGTGTGTCTTGTGTATGTGTGCTCATATGCCTTTGAGTTAGTGTTGACAATCCTGACAATTGTCTGAACAAGTCCCTGCAGTTTTCTTGGCAAGGTTTCAAAAGTGGTTTGTCATTGCCTGCTTTCCAGGGCCGAAAGAGTGTGACTGGCTGAAGGTTACCCAGTTGATTTTGTGCCTAAAGTGAGACTAAAACTCACAGACTTCTGGTTCTAGCCTGTGCCCTATAACCACTACACCAAACTGTCTATAGGCCATGAAGATCAAGGACCAAACTGGGTCAGAATGGCAAAGTGAGGATTTTTTATTTTTCTTTATTTTTCAATCAACTTTCAGAACCAGGGAGCAGTTCAGCCTGGGAGCAATGGCAGCAAGTTTCTTCTTTCATGGCTAATGAAATCAAAGTCATGACATAGTTGAAAAGGATTTGAAATCCTTCCTGTCAGAAGGTTCTTAGTAATTTCTGGTTTATTATTTAATTTTTTTAGATCTAAAAAAACCAAGAAGCCCGCATCCTTTCCTGCTCAAGAAGGTAAAACGAAGTTAACAATTTTTCATGAAGAAGTGGATCACGGAGAAGAACTATTTGGCACATCTGAAGATTTTTCATCCCCCGGCAACAAGAAGATATTGGCAGTCAAAGAAGGTATTAATGAATAGTCAAGTTTCTTGTTATATACTTTATAGGATTTTTTAAAAAGTGTCACAAAACATGGAATCTTTGGTTGCAAAACTCTGTTTCCCTGAAAATAAGACCTCCCCAGATAATAACCCTAATTGGGCTTTTGAGCACATGCGCTAAAATAAACCCTCCCTTGAAAATAAGCCCTCCTCAAAAATATTACAACACAGCAGCAGCCATGAGGTGACCACGCTTGCTGCCTCCAGTACCTCAAAAATAATAAGACTTCCATGAAAATAAGGCCATGCACTTATTTTTGGGGAGGTCAAAAGAAAATAAGACCCTGTCTTATTTTTGGGGAAACACGGTATTTATTTCGCAATAAAGTTTCTTTAGCTAGGTTTATTTATTGCATTTCTACCATGAATTTTCTCTGACAGATCAAATCAATGTCTTAGATCATCCTCCCCCCCCCCCCCAATCCTATCCTCACATCAATAACCAAAGATCTCACAGTGAACTTCCATGGCCAAGGGAAAGTTTGAACTTAGTCCTTGTTCAACATGTTAACTGTTACTATTACATAAGTCTTTCATGCAAAATGTTTAAAAATACAGAGTTAATTTAAAGAAAGAAAACAATACTTGCATCCCATCTGTAAAACTGGATTGGACTATTGGTTATGCTTGGTTAGGCTAATTCTCTATAGCAATAGCAGTAGCAATAGCAGTTAGACTTATATACCGCTTCATAGGGCTTTCAGCCCTCTCTAAGCGGTTTACAGAGTCAGCATATTGC